CACACAAAAGAAGTAAATGTGTCCAGTCTTTTCAGCAATCATCAAATTACAGTGAACAAGAGAATATTCATACCGGAGAGAAGCCTTACAAATGTAAAGCATGTGGCAAAGCCTTTAAGTGTCATTCATCTCTCATTGTACATAAGGGAAGAATTCATACTATTGCAAAATTTCACAAACTCGCGGCAAATGGAAAAGGCTTTAGTCAGTCCTCAAGACATACTCAGCATCATAGAAATCATACGGGAGAAAAGTCTTATAAATGTTCAGAATGTGGCAAAGCCTTTACCCAGCACTCAACCCTTAGTATTCATCTGAAAATTCACACTGGAGAGAAACCTTATGAATGTAATGAATCTGGCAAAGCCTCTAGACGGTCCTCACACTTTACTTATCAGAGAGTTCACACACGAGAGAAGCCTTATAAATGTAGAGATTGTGGCAAAGCCTGTTGCAGCTTCTCAGATCTTACTAAGCATCAGAGAGTTCATACTGGTGAGAAGCCTTATGAATGTAGCGACTGTGGCAAAGTCTTTAGATGGCCCTCAAACCTTACGACCCATCAGAGAGTTCATACTGGACAGAAGCCTTATAAATGTAGAGAATGTGGCAAAGCGTTTATGGATTCCTCCATCCTTAAAAATCATCAGGTTGTTCATACTGGAGAAAAGCCTCATAAATGTAGAGAATGTGGCAAAGCATTCAGTACAACTGCAAAACTTAATCATCATCACAGAGTTCATACTGGAGAGAAACCTTATAAATGTGGAGAATGTGACAAAGTCTTTAGATGGCCCTCAAACCTTATTACTCATCAGAGAGTTCATACTGGAGAGAAGCCTCATAAATGTAGAGAATGTGGCAAAGCTTTTATCGATCCCTCCAACCTTAAAGGTCATCAGAGTGTTCATACTGGAGAAAAGCCTCATAAATGTAGAGAATGTGGCAAAGCATTCTGTACGTCCACAAAACTTAATCAACATCGCAGAGTTCATACTGGAGAGAAACCTTATAAATGTAGAGAATGTAGCAAAGTCTTTAGCCATTCCTTCACCCTTAATCGTCATCAGAGAGTTCATACTGGAGAGAAGCCTCATAAATGTAGAGAATGTGGCAAAGCCTTTATAAGTCCCTACTCTCTTAATATACATCAAAGAGTTCATACTGGAGAGAAGCCTTATAAATGTAGAGAATGTGGCAAAGCCTTCAGTGAGTCCTCAACACTTAATCGCCATCAGAAAATTCATGCTGGAGATAAGGCTTATAAATGTAGAAAATGTGGCAAAGCCTTTAGATGGTCCTCAAATCTTAATGTGCATCAGAGAGTTCATGCTGGAGAGAAGCCACATGAATGAAGAGAATGTGGCACATCCATTGGCAGCTCCTCAGACCTTACTGCACATCAGAGGGGTCATACTGGAGAGGAGCCTTATGAATGTAAAAATGGAACAAAGCTTTTAATCAGTGTTCCTGCCTTATTGTACAGCAGAGTTCATACTTGAGAGAAGTATTACAAATATGAGGAGTGTCATAAGTCCTTGACCAGCAGTGAGAACTTACTGAACATCACAGAATTCTGCCTGGGAACAAGCCTTATGAATGTGAAATATGTAGTAAAGTCTTTAAAAGCTATTCATGTATTACTGTACATGAGAGACTTCATACTGAAAAGAAATCTTTCAAATGTAGAGCATGTGCAAGATCCTGTACCTGTAGCTTCAAAATTTACTGGATATCAGAGACTTATATAGTGGAGGAAAGCCTTACACTGTAGAAAATGTGAGAAAGCACTGGCTGGCTTGCCTCAGTGGTTTAGCTTGGATGTATGAACCAGGAGGCCAGGGTGCCATTCCTGGTCAGGGCACAGGCCCCGGATGGGGACTCAATTCCAGGTATGGTTCTTGCAGGAGCCAGCTGATCAGTGATTCCCTCTCATCATTGATGTTTCTATAGCCCCCTCTCTTTTCCTCTCTGTGCTATAACAATGCCATTTAAACCTCTTCCTCCTCCACATCAGCCCATCAGGCCCCTATAGCTTCTGTTCAGTAGTTTGGAATTTTATTAATGCTATAACTGACATCAGAATTTGGCAAATATATTGCTTTATATTCATGAAGTAGGAAGCCCACCATTCAATTTTTATGCTGGATTCTAAAGTTTTGAATGTTATTAATTTTTGGAATATAATTTGGCTTCTGTGTACTTTATAAAAAAATAAATAAAAATAAAAAGGTCAGGGAGGCTGTTTTAGAATAAAAGAGACTAAAGAGCTTTAACAATCAAATGTAATGTATGGACTGTAATTATATTTTAGTCCAAAAGAAAAAAATCTTTACAAATTATATTGAGGACAAAAGATAAAATTTGAATTTGAACTGGGTATTGTGATATTAGGGAGTTAATGCTAATTTTCCTAAGAGTGATAATACTTTTGTGGTTATGCAAGCATGTCTTAGGAAATATATGCTCAAGTTTTCAGAGGTGAAGTGTAAGCATATGATGTCTGCAACTAATTTTCAAGTTACTAAAAAACAACTAAATATATTTAACAGTGTTAACATTTTAAAATGTTAACTGTTGAAACTCAGTGGTGACTGTGTGGGTATTCTTTTGTATTCTTCAACTTTTCTGTATATTTTGTAATAAAAAGTTAAAAAAGGAGAGAAGGGGGCTATTTAACCTACTGTTCCAAATACTCAACTATAAAACTATTTTTTCTTTTATAATGTATTAATATGGAAGCCTCTGCTGCTTCACAAAGTATTCTGTAGAACACATTGGTCTAGGGTAGGCTCTTAGTACATTTAAGAAATATAGAATAATAATAAAGATTTCAGTGAAGAAGGAAATCTTAAAAAAATTCAAAATACACTTAAAAATCTCCATCCAGCTAGCTGAGGAAATGTTTACTGTATCATTGGCAAGGAAGCCTCTCTAAGGAATTTCAAGCTTAACAGTGGCGTGACTTCACTGGCTAGATGAGTGAAGGTTGCAGGTTGCAAAGTGGCTCTTGAATGTCCAAGTATCCAAATCTTTTCTCTTAGTGTAACCTCATGGATGATGGCATAGGCTAAATTTTCAATCACCTGTATCCTTTGGTCCTTACTTAGAGCACTTTCAGAAAGAGAGAAAAATAAAAATGTATAGGCATTTGACACTTCCCATTAGGGATGAAGTTATAAGGACACCTAATAGTTTCCTGTGGCGGTAAATTTAATGTGCTAATTTGGGATACAGATGCCCAGGTATTTGATTAAATGTTTTTCCTGGGTGTGCCTGGAGGGTGTTGATGGGAGAGATTTGTATTTGAACAGAGACTGAGTAAATCAGATTGCTCTCCCCAGTTTGAGAGACTGAATAAAACCAAAGGTGGAGGGAGAGGTACTCTCTTACTGACTACTGAACTGGGCAGAGGACCTGAACAGACACTTCTCCCAAGACATACAAATGGCCAACAGATATACGAAAAGATGCTCAACTTCACTAGCTATTAGGGAAATGCAAATCAAAACTATGAGATACGATCTCACACCTGTTAGAATGGCTATTCTCAACAAACAGAGGTTGTGAAGAAAAAGGAACCCTCTTCATTGCTGATATGAATGTAAACTGGTACAGCCACCATGGAAACCAATATGGAGTTTAAGCCTAACGAATATTTCTTTTTGTAAATCTTCTATCCATATGCCGAACTCATGATGAATTATTCAATAAATATGTGTTGAATGCCTACTCTGTGTTGTAAGAGTTTGGAATATACAGGGTGGGGCAAAAGTAGGTTTATAGTTGTGAGTGTGAAACAAGTGTCTTGTATTATTATTTATTAATCGTATTATTTTCCGTAGAAACAACTGTAAATCTACTTTTGCCCTCCCCTGTGAAACAAAGACCTGAGAGAGCATTGACTCTGCAAGTGAATTTTACCAGTCTTTGCCCCTTTCTGCATCTTAGTTTTGCATTTGTGCATGTACAGGAAACACTGTAATGGAAAGCTTGCATGTTCTCAGCTGAAGGACACTGGCAAACAAGTGGAGATATTGCTCATAAACGCTGTAGAACCAAGGACAGTTAACGAGGAGGGTACCAATGAAATCTCCTTGACCTTGTTCTCAGCAATCCACACCAATAGACACTGCTTTCATTTTTTTAAAAAGGAGTTTTACATGTACGTGCAGCATTCTGAGGTTACAGCTTCCTTCCTAGCTGCAAATCGAGGCTCCCCAACCTGGGACAGTGAGCCCCGCCGGACCCACCACTTGGTACTTCTTTTCTCCACCTTAGAGGCTGGTCTGACTGAGCTCAGGGATAAATGCCTTCTGAAACTCGGCATTTTTGAAAGGGACTAAGGGAAGCTTTTATGTCTCCCTCCAAGTCCAGCTTCTAATGAAGTGGAAGCTAGGTTGTAAATAAAGACCCACACTGATTTTCTTCTGAGAAAACACACTACCATGAAACAAAAACACTACACACCACTCCCCACCTCACCAAAACAAAAACAGCACTAATTGTGTTGTTATTTTACGAATACTCCGTGGCTGTGAAGTAACAGCACAATTACATTTCTCACAGTACCACTGGTACAATTTCCGGGCTCCTGGGGAGAGCAACGTGGGGATTTTCCTCCTGGAAAGAAAGGCAAATTGGTCCCCAAGGTATACTTGATAGAAACAACGCAAAATAAGTAAAAACAGATGATAACCCAACAAATAAAAGCTTGGCAGTTTCGGTAAAACAGACGATGTTACCCAGAAACGTATGGGAGCGTAAAAGAGAACTTAAATTTCCCAAAGGCTTGCTCCCTCGTTTCCAAGTGGGAAAATGTGAACAGGAACTGAAAGGAACCGGAAGAATATAGGAAAATGTAAACATTACAAAAAATATATATCAGGAGAATGGAGAAAGTGGACAGCTTCGGTGTCCCTCTCTCAGAGACCCTCCGGTCCGCTGTGATCAGAGGCTGTGCCGCGGCAACAGATGACCCGTCTCTGGCCACGGACCACCTAGAATGCGCTTTCGCAGGAGCAGGGCAGCGGCCAGGGGGGTGGCGGCGGGGGGCGCAAGCCGCCCTTCTCCAGCTGCTCCCGCCGAGCGTGGTGATAATGGGGATGGGGCCAGCGGTGGCGGTGGAGCGCCTGGTGGCCTTGGGGCCCCTCGTCGTCTTCGAAAATTCCCCT